TTTTTTTTTTTAAATTTAGAGACATTAACTCACTGAGTTACTTAGGACCTTGCTAAGTTGCTGAGGCTGGCTTTGAACTCAGGATCCTCCTGCCTCAGCCTTCTGAGCCACTGGGATTACCTTCGAGACTGTTTTTTATAGATAAGAATTAAGGTCCAGAGTCACACAAGTAACAGAACTAGAAAGACCCTGCTTCTTGACTCCTAACCCAGATTGGTCTCTACTACATGAAGATAAAAAAGGGGTCAGCATCAAGAACTAGATTGTGGGGCCTGATTTTTCAAAAATTAAGGAAAGATAGAAGCATTATTTAAGTTAATGACAAATTCTAGATGTGTGTTTTAGTTTCAAGTAAAACTAATTTAAGGAAAAATCACCAGGAACTTATTCATCCTTATGACTGAAAGTTATGATTGATTCAGACGCAGCTATATCCAGGGACTTAAGCAGTGTTCTAAATAATATGTCTTTTCTTCCTGGCATATGTTTTTGATGGCAAGATAGTTATTAGAAACTCTAGGCTTACTTCTCGTAACTCTATTCATTTTCCTGCAGGAAAGAGGCTTTTCTTTTCCAACAATGTGTACAGGAGCCATGGAATTGAATCTTAATGGATAGGAATGGCCTGGCCTGGGTCACATGTCCATACCAAACAAATTAATGTAGACTGGAATATCTGACTAAGTCTGTGTTCCTGGGACCATGCCACCTAATGTGTATCTGAGAATTGGGAGAAGATCCCCTGGAAAATGAGGGTGCTAGTACAGAAAAGTGGAAGTAAAGGTTGTACAATCCAGACAACAGATGTGTGCTTCACTGTTTCATTAAATGGATGGTTTATAAATATTTAGGTAAGAAAGTGATCACCAGGGGACAGCACTTATTACTAAGAATGGCTATTTGACTGAAACAGACTCTCAAACTGTGGAAAAAGAAATTTAGCAGTTTTATAGGTTTTATACTTACATCATGTGGGCAAAGATATGCGAGTGATTTTCTGATAAATAATTAAAAATAAGAAAAATAATTAAAAATCAGAAATAAAAAAACTTGAGAAAGCTGATCTACTTAAGTCATTCTTTTTTAATTCAAAATAACATTTGCAAAGATAGTTTTATGATCAGAATTGTATCTATTCTTCTTTTTGGAGCTGGAAAAATTGCAGAATTTCCTTTTGCTAACAGAAAAAAGACTATATATTTTAAATCTTATTGATTATATTTTATTAGCACTGACAGAAGAAAAGGCATGACAGGGGGCTGGGGATGTGGCTCAAGTGGTAGTGCGCTCACCTGGCATGCGTGCGGCCTGGGTTCGATCCTCAGCAAACAAAGATGTTGTGTCCGCCAAAAACTAAAAAATAAATGTAAAAAAAAAAAATTCTCTCTCTTTCTCTCTCTCTCTTTAAAAAAAAAAAGAAAAGGCATGACAGGAGGTAAACTATAAAATATGAAGATGAAAAGGAACAAGATTGCTAAAAATGGCATAATTGGGCATGCAATATTATACATCTGTAATTAAAAACTATAGGGGACTAATCTTATTTCCTCTTTTGATGGGTTACTAGATTAACAGCTGTATCTGTTTTGTTATTTAATATGTCTATGGATCTATGGAAGACAGATTATACTTATGTGTATGAATCTATGGAAGACAAAAAGCTAGAAGTTTTGATTCAAGAAAGATCATAGTCCTATGTCATTTATCTACCCCTTGTATTTTGGTCAGATCACATCTCAGCATTAGAACTTTATATCATTTCTGAGTGTTGTTAAAAGGGGCTGTTTACCAATAATTGAACAAAAAAAAACTAAAATGAGAAAAGAGGAGGGGAATTTCTGATGAGTAGGAAAAATTGAGGGGAAAGCAAGTAGACTTGGGTTGTAGATAGTATATTATATGATGTCTGCTCTAGAAATGTCAGAATGCTTTTAATCCTTTTAATCTGATATTTTGGAAATATCAGAATGCTTTAAATCCAAGATGATAGCTGCCTTTATACTTGAGCTTTTATATAGAAGAGAAATCAGAATTGTATAGAAGGATCACAAGTTCAAAGCCAGCCTTAGCAACTTAGCAAGGCACTAAGCAATTCAGTGAGACTCTGTATCTAAATAAAATGCAAAAAAGGGCTTGGAATGTGGCTCAGTGGGTAAGTAGACTTGGGATGTAGACACTATATTGTATATTTTATATATTAAATGTTGAGAGCAATAATTTTCAAACTGAATTCATCATGTACATCTATTTTTTTTCCTTCTCTCTGTGACACTTATTACTATTCTATGAAACAAATGTTGACAAACACCACACTAGCATAGAGTATTATGATATTTGTTGGGGACAGAGGTTGGTGGCATTAGAGGGGTTTATTTTACAGAAACAGAGTTTTGATTCGCCATAATAAAGAACAACTTATAAATCAGTAAAAGATTGTTGGTTCAGATTAACCCACCATTCTCCTTGTTTTCCAACTTTAGTTATTAATAGTTAAAGCAGGAAGAAATATTCTAGTTTTTATGTAGTCTATGTCTCCAGAGACAAATTATGAAAAGATCTTGTTTGTTTGCATATTCAGTATAGGAATCAAATTATACGCAACAGTTAGAGAAATTTGAGGTAATTTTAACATTTGGGTGTTATTCATATATATAAATATTTTAAATAGGTTCATCTGGTGACGGAAGAAGAGGAATCAGCTAACACATATACAATACACCAGGTAAACTTGCTTAAAAAACACGTTCACTAAAATCTAACTGTAAACCTTGTTCCCTAAAGACAGAATGTTGACCAGTTTCCCCTGCTTTAGAGAAATTTTTAAAAACTTTTAAATTAGGTTATAATTTATGTATAAGTTCACTTTACAGTTCTACATGTTTTATAAGCATATAAAGTCATGTGACTGTCATAAAAATCAATATAAAGAATAGTTTCATCTCTAACCCAAATTTCCCCATGTACTTTTTTTTTGGCATTGGGGATTGAACCCAGGGGTGCTTACCCACTGACACATCTCCAGCCCTTATTTGTATTTTATTTAGAGATTGAGTCTCACTGAGTTGCTGTGCCGGCTTTGAACTCAAGATCCTCCTGCCTCAGCCTTTGGAGCCACTGGGTTTACAGGCATATGCCACTGCAGCCAGCCCTCATGTACTTTTATAGTTAACCTCCACTCCCATCTACAACCCCTGGCAACCACTTATTTATTTTCTGTCATATGGTATTGCTTTTGAAAGAATGTCATATAAATAGAATCACATCTTGGTAAATGGAATCACCTTAGTTATTGTGAGTCCTTTATTTGGGACTCACAAAAGAGTTTGCTTTTTTCTTTACTTGGTGCATTAAAAATATTGTAGTTTAATGTCCAAAGCATGTTGTTGGCTGACTGTAGTGTGCGTATTTATATACATACACACACACATACACCACACATCTTGAACTGTTTTTACAGATGTAGGTCCCAGTCATACAAGTAAAATATGATCATACGTACATTTTTCTGAAGGCTGTTTCATGTATTTTTTTTTCCATTCACAGGTGGTTCTTCCCGTACTTGGATACAATATTCAGTACCCGAAGAATCAAGTAGGGCAATGGTACCAGGAAACACTTAGCAGAGATGGACTACAGACATGTAGGTTTAAAGTACCTACTCTGAAACTGAACGTACCAGGATGCTATAGACAGATTTTGAAACATGCCCATAATCTCTCATACCAACTAATGGGAGATCATGATGTCAAAATGGAAGGTTCCCACATCGATGAATCAACTTTATCTCTTTTGATCTCTTTTAATCTTGATGCTTCATGTTATGCCACAGTTTGTCTGAGGGAAGTAATGAAGTATGACATTTAAAACTGATACCCTTAAATAAAAAAAAAACTAACTGATACCCTTGATATAATTGTGTGTGTGCCAGTCATTGAAGGAAAGGTAGCTAAAATTTCGTGACTGTCTACCATATGCTAGGAGCTTCGTAATTGTTGTCTCCTTTGATTTTTCACAGCATCCTGAGAAGTTGGGGAATTTGATGCTTTAAAGTTCCAGGGGACATATAGTAAGTAAGTGTCAGGGTCTGAATTTAAGGTCTGTGTGAAAGCCTATGTTGTTTCTATTTTATCATGCTTCAGTGAACTTTATTCTGTGTCATAAAGGTGCCAATTGTTTTAAACTGTTAATACCATATATTGCTGTAAGCTAACACTTAAGATAAAAATTGTGAAATAGTATTCATATCCTCTAGCTCCTTGCTTAGAACACAGGTGAAACTAGATTGCATTGAAATCATTTATG